CATTCATTAACTGTTGATCTTATTGTCTGTGCTACTGGTGTTATGTCCAGGAAGCTGTCTCCTGTACCAATTCGTTCAAGGGTACCACCCACTTTCTCTTCTAAGAGGTTCAGTGTGGCTGGATTTATGTTGACGTCTTTGATCTATTTGGACTTAAGTTTTGGGCATAGCGATAAATATGGATGGATCCGCATTCTTCTACATGCCAGTCTCCAGTTATGCCTGCACCATTTGTTGAAGATGCTTTCTTTATTCCATTGTATATTTTTAGCTTCTTTGTCAAAGATCAGATGTTCATACGTGTGTGGGTTAATATCAGGGTTTTCAATTTTATTTCATTGGTCTACCTGTCTATTTTTGTGCCAATACCAAGCTGTTTTCAGGACTATAGCTCTATAATAGAGCTTGAAGTCGGGGATGGTGATGCCTCTGGACATTGCCTTGTTGAACAGGGTTGTTTTGGCTATCCTGGGTCTTTTGTTTTTCCATAAAAATTGATTATTGTTCTTTCAAGTTATGTGAAGAGTTGTGCTGTGATTTTAATGGGTATTGCATTGAATCTGTAGATTGCTTTTGGCAGGATTGCCATTTTACTACATTGATCCTGCCTATCCAAGAGCATGGGAGATCTTTCCATTTTCTGAGGGCTTCTTTAATTTATTTCTTTAAAGATTCAAAGTTCTTGCGATACAGGTCTTTTATTTGTTTGGTGAGCATTACCAGAGGTATTTATGTTGTTTGTGGCAATTGTAAAGGGTGATGTTTCTCCGATTACTTTCTCAGCCCTTTTATCATCTGTATATAGTAGGGCTACTGATTTTCTTGAGTTGATCTTGTAGCCTGCCACTTTGCTGAAAGTGTTAATCAGCTGTAAGAGTTCCCTGGTAGAGTTCTTTGGGTCATTTATGTAAACTATCTTATCATCTGCAAATACTGAAAGTTTGACCTTTTCCTTCCCAATTTGTATCCCCTTGATCTCCTTTTGTTTTCATATGGCTCTGGCTAGAACTTTAAGTACAATATTGAAAAGGTATGGAGAGAGTGGACAGCCTTGTCTTGTTCCTGATTTTAGAGGAATTGCGTTAGTTTCTGTCCATTTAGTTTGATGTTGGCTGTTGGTTTATTGCATATAGCTTTTATTATGTTTAAGTATGTTCCTGTTATCCCAGAAATTCAAAGAACAGCTTATACCAATTCTTCTCAAAGTATTCCACACAATAGAAGCAGAAGGGTCTTTGCCAAACTCTTTCTACAAAGCTTCAATAACCTTGATCCCCAAGCCACACAAAGACACAACTAAGAAAGAGAACTTCAGACCAATATCCCTCATGAACATTGATGCAAAAATACTCAAGAAAATACTGGCAAATCGGATCCAAGAACACACCAAAACAATCATTTACCACAATCAAGTAGGGTTCATCCCAGGGATGCAGGGATGGTTCAACATACGAAAATCCATCAATGTAATCCACCATGTAAACAAGCTGAAAAACAAAAATCACATGATCATCTCACTAGATGCTGAAAAAGCCTTTGATAAAATCCAACATCCCTTCATGATAAAGGTCTTGGAGAGATCTGGGATAACAGGAACATACTTAACCACAATCTTTACAACCATGGCCATGTTATTCATGAGCCCTTAGGACAATGATAGGGACAGCCAGAGAAAAGAGACAATCTGTTTATAGACTGAGTTATTCTATCTATTTAGTTGTAGAATTCCTCCTGAGCTGCAATCACATTTTTATGAGAATTTATATGGGATATAAGTATCTTCAATTCCTTTGACCATTTGGATACATTTATCTAAGTTCTTTTGCCCAGATGCCTTTCCCAACAATTTTCCAACCATGCTTTTTTCATGTCCTGGAGCATTCAGTCAATCCATTACCTACATTAGATAGCAATTGTACATCTGATCATTTCTCCTTCCAAGCAAAATGTACCATTATGTGTACCATCCAAAGTTCTTCCCGCTGTGAAGATTATAATGCTGCAGTTGTCCACTTCTAATTGGTGTCTACATAATGTGAAGAACCATCAGTAAATAAGACCCTAATCTCTTCCTCACTCCTATAGTTACAGGGCACAATCCATGAGGCTATGGGTGTTTGCATGGCAGAAGATGGCACTGTAATGGAAGGAGAAACCATAGGCATTTAAGCAATTTCTTCATACAACTTGTTTGCATGTTTAGGGCCTGCCTAGTCCCAATCATGTATATACCACTTCCATTTGATAATGAATTTATGCTCTGAATTTCCTACTTTATGATTTGGTATGTCAGAGAGCACACAGCTCTTACTTGATAGGTCAGGTTGTATGGTATATATGGTAACTTGATGACCCTTTGCCAAGTGTCCAGTTTCCAGTAAGTCCCAATAGCAGGCCAACAGCTGTCTGTCAAAGGGAGAATAGTATCCACAGTGCTGGTATAGCTTTGTTCCAAAATCCCAAAGGTCTCTCCTGTGATTCACCTATAAATGTCTGCCAAAGATTCCAAAGAGCATCACTATCTGCCATTGACACCTCAAGTACCATTGAGACCGCTGAACCATATGGTCAAAGTGGTAGAGCAGCCTGCACAGCAGCTTGAACCTGTTGAAGAGACTTCTGTATCAGGTTTGAATCACAGCCAGCAGCTTGCTGAGTCACTTGGTATATGGGCCAGAGTAATAAATACATCCAAGTGATGAATGTGCTGTCTCCAGAATCCAAGTAGGCCCTTTAAATGTTGTACTCCCCTCTTGGTGTTGGGAGGGGCAAGGAGCAGTAATTTATCCATGATCTCTATGACCCACACCTCTGATCTCCTAAAAATTTCACTTAGACAGAAGTCCTTTGAATTAGGAAGCAGTGCAGGTGGGAGACAGATTGGGAATATTATAATAATCAGAATGCATATTATACAGGTATGAAATTGTCAACATGTTCAATAAAAGTAAAATTAAAAGCAACATTAAGTTTTGATAATTTGCATAATACAAGGTTTATGGTACATCTCAGTAAACATATGTTCCAAAACCTATTTGGAAAAGATCAGTAACATTCCATGTATGATGTTATAATATACTCCAGTTGTCAGTTGATCTGTGAAAGGCAGGGACTGAACTTAGATGGGGGTGTGAATGGCAGAAGACTTTGAAAATGGCTTCTGAGCTCTGAATATCATCAAGTACATTTTTTGTTGTTATTTTAATATAGAATCTCTGTATTGTCCATCCCAGGTTGTTCAATAATTTGGTATACATTCCAGGATGGTCCTAAAGTCATGATCCTACTTCACTAGCCTGTTAAATGCTGGGACTCTGGTATGTTCCAGGATGCTCAGATGCTGCTTTCAATAGCAGAATGTACTTGCTTGATTTATCAACAATCAAAGGCATTCTTCCCAACCTGAGAATGTGGTCAATATCTAGCCTCTAGTTCTCATCTCATATACAATCCACTTAAGATGTAGGGGACACTACTCTCAATGTTATAACCTCCTGGTGCCAGTAAATCACATCTAATGACTCAGTGAGGAGGAATTTAAAGGTCTAGCATTTAAACCATGAGGGCTGTAGTATGTCTGATTGGGTAATACTTATACTGAACTCCAATTGATAGATTCCTCAACGTTTGACAAATATATCTCAGTTGCATATGTTCTTCTTATCAATTCACTACTTTTCTTTTAAAACAGTTAATTGTTTCTTTAATAAACACAACTGGGCTCAAACTGTCTGATTCCCTCATATGTCTAAAGACTTCAGCCTGTAACATGAATATACTGTTTCAGAAGTCTTAGGCATCTACAAATGGGAGCATTTGCTATCATAATAATAGTACAGATGTCTTGATAGGGCATTATTACGTGGCAACTCTTATTTAAACAAAACTGACCCAGTGTTCTCCTTTAATTTGCATGTATTTCTCATTTCAGAGGGAAGGATTTAGACTACTTAAAGACAGAAGGTAATAGAGTTTCCAAAACTCTACAGCAGTCCAGATTCCAAACTGTTCTGACCAAATGCTTCTCAGTGCTAGACATCTGAAGTTTTGACAATGTCACCAAAGAATGGACAAACTCAAAATCTCAGGTCAGTGAGGATGCGTAATAAACATTCTCTCTGGGGTTTGACTGCAGGCACCAAGGCATAGGAAGACCTCTTGTGTGATAGAGAAAAACAGTAGTAGTACTTTCCAAGATCTAGTGATAAAAGTAGTGAGTCCTAAACATATTCAAGCATCTTTACATTGAGAGTGACTGAGTTTCTAGAAATAATACTTCACTCAGTCTGTGTGTTTCACTGATTTGATAAAAGTGTTTAAAGCTGCAAATATAAGATGATGTTGGAAACAGTTTGCATGTACACGTAAGCTAATCCATCAATGATTCTTAATCAGGACACAAGTTGTCTCCTGGTAATTAGGTTATTTATAAAGTAAAGCAGGAGAACTGAACAAAATCTCAGAGATGTCCTTCTGAGCAAATGATGAAGTGCTCCTGATAAAGAAGACAGAGTAAGGACAAAAGGGAGGTAAATAGGGAAAAGGAAGGTGTTTTGCTTAGTTACATCCTAACATTCTATGACTCATTTACTCTAGAAAAATTTTGGGCCTATTCTAAATACCAGGATTCAGGATTAGCACGGCCATGGCAAGAGTCCTTAAGTACCAATACTACTAAAGTTCTTCTAAACTATAGTGATTTCTTTATTCATTTTGAATGGAGTATAGGATTTACAAAATTTTCTTCTAAATCTGATCTTCATACATAGCTTATCTCTAATGTAGACTCCAATAAACTTACATATGGAGAGCTCTGAATAATGTAGAATTGTTCTTGATATATCCTGTTTCCCGATATCTAGAAAACTCCCAGAAATGATTGAATTACCATTGTTGTAAATAAGGACCTCTGAACATCTACACAACATGTAGCATCCTCAAGGTACAAACCCTAAAGAACTGGAGTTGTTCACCGTATCCAACAGATATTTTCCTCTACAATGCCCTCAGTATTACTCAAAACCTCCTCCTCTGCATTTGTGCGCACTGACTTCCCAGGTTTGGAGAAAGCCCATTACCTGATCTCGTTCCCATTGCTGGTGGCCTACATCTCCATACAATTTGGCAATGGAATCCTTCTTTTCTTCATTAAGGATGACCACAACTTCCATTAGCCCATGTACTATTTCTTAGCTAATCTGGCAGCTACAGATCTTGGAGTAACATTGACCACTGTGCCCACAGTGATGAGTGTACTGTGGTTAAATCACAGGGAGATTGGCCATGGAGCCTGCTTCTCATGGGCCTACTTTATCCACACTCTTTCTATTGTGGAGTCAGGGGTCTTGCTTGCCATGGCCTATGACCATTTCATTGGTATTAGAAACCCATAAGATACAAAACCATCCTTACAAATACGAAAGTAATAAAGATTGGCATAGGTGCATTGATAAGGGCTGGTTTATCAATCATGCCAATAATCATTCGCCTGCATTGGTTTCCCTATTGTCTATCCCATGCTTTCTGTCTACACCAACATGCCATCAAACTAGTTTGTGCTGACATCATATTCAATCATCTCTATCCAGTTGTGGTTGTATTTGCAATGTTTCTGCTAGATTTCCTGATCATCTTTTTCTCTTATGTTTTAATTCTGAAGACTGTCATGGCCATTCCTTCTACAGATAAGCAGACTAAGGCCCTCAACACATGCATCTCCCATATCTGTTGCATCCTGGTCTTCTATGTCACTGTGGTTGGTCTGACATTTATTCACAGGTTTGGAAAGCATGTTCCTCATGTGGTTCACATCACAATGAGCTTCCCTCCTTTTATGAACCCTGTCATCTACAGCATTAAGACCAAATGGATTCAAATTGGTTTACTTCACTTATTCTCTCGACCTTGTTCTAGAACATGACACTGACTGCTATCTGAGGAACAGCTCCTAGGATGTGTTAATAGTGAGATTTCAGGTATAAGCACCCACACAAAACATTTGAATAGAAACCTACTAAAGCCTCTGCTGTTCGATTGCTGTCTATTGCTGATGTGATATGGTATGATGTACTCACAATACTAAGTGCCTTGTGAAGACCTCACTCTGATGTTAACAAGTTTCCTAAGGTAAATAATACAATTTGTTGAGCTTATGACATGTGACATGTACAGATATATATTGCCTTTGAAACAACAGTCTAGATCATACTTTTTTGGGTCAAAGCCTGTAATTCTTCATTTGATCTCCATCAATGGTCCTCCTATACTTAGGGCTAAAGCATTCTACCTGAATGGAGCTAGTTACTGGTTCTAGAAAATTATCTTGAGTGTAATTGAGCCAGACACTGCCTTCAGTTCAGGATGATTGACTTAGGAAAAGCATGCCCAGGAAAATCTGCTCACTTTCAATTTTGATATATACTTATCAAATAATAATACCAATAATAACAATTATTAAGACAAATATAATCCTAGTCCAGATAACCATTATCTTGAGAAGTTTGGTCCCAGGTACTGCTGAATAAATATACGTATTTTCAGTTATTAAATTGATATAAGAGGTCATATTGAGAAGAGCATATTTAACACTAGATAGGAGGTCCTGGCCCACAGAATCCCAGAGCATGGTGTTGCTGAGCATTTCTCTGGATGGGAAGGATTGAGGAAGGTAGAGTCAGTGGGTATTACAGAAAGAGAATCTTTCCTTTTCTTTCCCCAAACATACTTCAGCTTCTATTCTGATCACTCAGTAGGCTTTGGGGAAGGGCACCTGTGATTTATGCCCTCTTAAAGAGCCAATATCCACGACTCGATGCATAAGTCTTAAGTACTCCAAAAAATATTCATGATACAACTACAGGACATAAAGTTCTAGGCTCACACATAACCACACCCATGAAGAATCATTCATTTCTCAGTCTCTGAGCTCTGTCACACTAGCCTTCAAAGTAACATACACTGGCTACATAAACTCTTTCTCACAAAAGGTATAATTTTCTAGAACTGTTGGGGTTTATTATTGACTTAGAGAAGAGAAAAAGAAATAATATCTTTACAAAAATTTCCTAGCCACTATACAACTTGTACCTGATCTGCCAATGAACTATGTCTTGTTTTATGTTGTGCTTCTGCAGCTTGGCTTTATGTTTGGATTTTATGTGAAAGTTGTTTCTCCTTTCATATCTCCGAGAGTTTGTTGTTTATGACAGAATAGCACAAGTCCTACTACTGTAGTACAGAATTTAACAAATAGATTTTTAATAAAAATATAATTTTTAAGCTAATATAAGAAAGTTTAAGTGACTGGCTCTCTGTGGCCATCTGTCTGTCTGTATGTATGTATGTTATGTCCAACCTATGTCTCTTTTATTTTGTCTTATAATGTTTTTCAAAGTATGCGCAAACTAGATGGTATTATCACCTAGAAACTTCAAAAATGTAAGGTCTGAGATATATCTCTGTTTTTGGAGTACTTGCTTGGCATATATAAATCCCTTGATTCAACTCTGAAAATCACATAAAACTGCACCATGTGGAAATGCACACCTCAGCCCAGCACTTAGGAAGTAGAGGCAGGATGATCAATATTCAGAAGTCATCCTTAACTACATAGAATATTTTAGAAGATCACACAGTGAAAGAAATCATGTATCAAAAAATTAGTTTGAAATTTTCCCTCTCTCAGAATGAGTTCAGAGGGGAATCTGTCCTATATAAATACAATCAATTCTCCATTTTCTCACTAGTTTTATGATCTTGAGTTCTGCTTCAATCAGCTATTAGAGATACTTGATAACGATATTTTTAATAAATTCTCTTTTCTTTTCTTTGTGTCTTTTTATTTTAAAGATTTATTTATGTAAATGTGTTCTATCTGCACGTACACTTCATGCCAGAAGAGGGCACAAGATCTTGTTACAGATAGCTGTGAGCCACCATGTGATTAAGAGATTTGAACTCTGGACTTCTGGAAGTGCTGCCTATGCTTTCATCCACTGAGTCATCTCTCCAGCCATGATATCAGTACTTTTATGAGTTCTATAAGTTGATATATATCCCTGACACCATTGTGAGCATGACTTTACCATTGATATTTTATAAAATTCTCCGTCTTTTTCCCCTTTCATGGTTTATAAGTCTTTTTAGGAAGCAGAACTTGAGATAGCCTATCAAAACCTAAGAGCAACAAGAAAATTCTCACTGTCCCAAGTTCCAGTGAAAGCCACTTAGTGGAATCCCTATATCCTTGTCTTATTTTATATGTATAGTTTAAGTAGGTGATAAAAGGTCTCTGAACTCCTGTTTGCTTTCCCTTGGAGAAACAAGGAAACATCCTTGCTGGTCTACAATTGTAGGAGGAGATGTTTAACTACAGGAAGCATAGACAGTCTTGCTAACTCTCCTAATGCTGTCACAAAGCTGTCCACCTGCTATAATATTTCTAAAAGTATATAGTTCCTTGTTTTTTTCCATTTTGCCATTGGAGCTACTTTATCTAAACATGAGTAATGTAATGAACAATATTCTGTATACTCTCTGTCTACACAAAAGTAGAAGATTTACCATTTATTTACAATGGCACACTAGAAATTTAGTAATATGTAGAAAACACTACAAAATATTTGGATAAGCAACACACTAGGGCCTCCCTGAAAGCTTTTTCTTCATGTCTTATGATATCCATGTATATCTTTGAGGCTTCCAAGGGTACAATAAAGAAAGATTTTGTTCTCCAATTTTAACAAGATAATTTCTTGAGCTAAATGTCAGGCACACTCCCAAACTGGAGGATTGACCCAGGTATCTGCAGAGACAGTTGTTAGAGTATGATAAGCTCCTAGGATCAGAGTCAACAGGCAGCTTCTGGCAGAGGCCAGCTGAAAACACAGAAGTTGTATGATCCTAAGACAAGTTAACTACTCAGTAATAAATAATCTGTTATTTTGAGATTAGTCTACAAGCTAAGCCTTGAAAGTAGAATAATAGTGGAAAGTCTGTTTAAATAGCAGTGCAGCTTCCTGTCTAGAAACACATTCACAACCTAGTCTAATGTCATCAGTTGATAAGGCCCTACCCTGCCTCCAGAGCTCACGTGGAGCAGAGACCCAATTGGAATAAAATAGTTAACTCCTATATTGCATAAAAACAAGCATAATGTGGACATATAAATTCATTCTTCAGATTATCTTGCTATATTTGAGAAACACAAGTAAGGCATTACAGCTCTCCCTCATCTTGACACCTCCTAAGAAAGTAAATATATGGCATTGCCAGAGAACAGAGCACAGCTCCACACTACTGCTCTCAGTAGACTGAGATGTTCCTCTAGACTTTGAGAGATTTAGTCTCAGGCCAATTGGGAGTTTATAGCTTCAAAATTGTGTAAAGGCTTTCCAGTACTATACAGTTCAGTGAATAGAGATGGTGATATTTTTTAAGATATTTAAATATATGCTTGTAAAAGAAAGGCACTCAGAAAAAGTGAGATGTAGCCAAGTCAGAGTATTTGTATCCCAAAAGTAGAATCAAATGAAAGTTGGATGCACTCAAGACTAGGTGCTGGTCACTCCAGCGGAGTGAGCCATTTTCTTGGCATTGGCCACATGGGCCATTTTGATGACTCAAGATATATCTCAAAAGGTTGCTTTGAAAAAGAAACATTTTGATATGTGAGTCATGTTAAAGTCTCTCTAAAGATGGTCTGTGAAAGTAAAAACACTAAAGCTACACAAAGGTTTCAATGCATGTCTTTTTCCTGTGAATGGGGTTTCTGGTGGGATTTTAGAAAACTGGGGATGTATACCAGAGAAAGGAGAAGTCCAGTGAGCAGCTGTTACTCATGTTAGAATTCTTGCTTTGCTGCTAGCAAGGACATTAACTAAATTCTAGAACTAGGGCATTCATCCCTCCTCCTCATGTCCTCTGCCTGTTTACCTTGCCTCAGGGTGGCTTGTGTTACTTCCACATATAAGGGACTGCTTTAATTTTTTCCAAGAATTATGAGTCCCTGATTAGCTATTCAATAGAAAGTTGACACATATACATTTAAGCAACACAGAACATGCTCAGCAAGTTGTATTTGTGCACTTATTCATCTACATGTACATATAACAGCAATAAAGAAGAGGAGGTAATTGTGAATTTGGGAAGGAGGTTGAGTAGAGGCATTGGAGATATAGGAAGAAGATGGAGGCTACCATAATTCTATATTAATTAAATTTTAAAATTAAAAAAATATTGTCATTCCTATGCCACATTTGGTCTCCTCGAGAACTGTCTAACTCATGTATTTATATGAACATAATTCATTGGAGGAACAAAGCATGGGACAGTTAATATGTTCCCTGGATGAGTACATAATAAGGCTGGGATTCAGATAACATATCTGAATTGATGTCAGAAGCTCTTCGTGCCTCCTGTGTCTTCCTGAGATCTCCTTAGAGCAGAAGGTCATTAGTGAAAAATATCCCTGTGACAACTTACATACATGCAAATTTTTCTTTCTCACTCTGTATTTTGTGGCTAATTCAGTTTTGTTCTGTATATTGATTCCCTTGAATTACTCATCTGAGAATTTGTTTGCTAATGTATTACATATGGTTATAGTTTCTTGTTTATTGGGAACATCCATCAATAGTGTTGCATACAACACACTGCTATCTTCCTCAGAAATATGTGACTAGCACTTCTGTCCTGAAGGTGAACATGACATGACTCAGCCTCTCTACCACCTCCTAGGCCTCTGCTGACCAGTGCCATACCCACAACAGCCATATTCCTCCACAGCAGAAGAATGGAGGAGATTTGCCTGTCTTTCTAGTTAGCATCAATGGAATAACACAAATGTTTACTAGTTCTACTCTTTGTAGAATTATTCAACGTTGCATTTTAAGGTTCATTAATGCCATAGTATAGATGTGG